AAAATGGCTGCCAGGCCAAGGTAGAGGAGTGTCATTATTTCAAAGCTTATCCCTTGTCCTTGCCGTACTCATTCTGCATTAAAAGCAAACAGTGCCACTGGCGAAGAGACAATGCGACTGGCATCCTTTACTTCCAGCCTGAGCTTTGCCACACTCGGTCACTAAATTTGGGAACAAGCTCTTAAAGCATATCTTGCCAATGAAAGAGAAAAAAAGGAGCAGCTCCGAGACCCCTTGACCCTGCCCTGTGTAAGCCATGGGAAGGAAATTCCCATAGACTTTTCAGCCCTTTCTCTTTCTGTCCTTTGATATGTAACATGCAATTCTCCTTACCCTCCCCCTCCTTCATTTTCCCTCTCTCCTTTTGTGGCCCTTTAAAGGATACCTAAACTCTGAAAGTAGTGGGTCATTTTTCTTTCAATTCCTGGAATGAAACCTAGCATATGAATTAAAGAGGAATTTTATAACAAGCATTGATCTGGGAGAAAAGATCTCCTCCTCCTCAGCCACTATGGGCTGGGTGGCCTTCCTCAAGTCACTTAATTTCTGTGAGCCCAGTTCTATAATAAACAGACTCTTTTCAGTTCTGTGAAAAGCACTGGCTTATAAGATTCATTGAAAGGCGTTTCCTTTTGGACACCCAGAAAATTCTATAGAGGCGCAGGGGGAAAGGTAGCAAAAATTAGGGAGCATGTGTATATGCATCTGTTGCCAGAGTGTGTGGGAACATTGGACACAGAAGTCACCTTTTCAAGGAGCAAAATTATTAATGAAGAGAGTTTTGTATGTTGTTGTCCGCCTATACCCAGACCTCTACTCAGGTGTTTCACTGTTGCCAGGTGTAAAGGGAGTGACCTCACCTTACTTGTCCCGGTGCTAACCTCCTTTCTGATCAAGCCCACCAATGTCCTCCATCCAGAAAAATAGTAATCTCTCTGCCACTGCTACCTGATTACAAGCATTCTTATTTTTTATAGAATTATCTGGTAAAAATGTGGCATTGCTCGCTTTTCACCTGTTTGTGCTCCTTTCCTTTATGATGTTTGTCAATAATTCGTCTTTGTTCGTGTTCATATTTCTAGAGAGGAGGGCAAAAGGATACTGATGATCTTTCTCTCTAAGGACAGATAGATTGTAGATGTTTCTGGATTGTGACCACTAGAAGCATAAAAGTCAGAAAGGAGTATTTCAGAAGAAAGGACATGATGGTCCCGTGGCAAATGCATGCTATGACTTTCATGTCTGAGTTTATACTAAGGGCTGCTTGACCAAACTTTCTTTTGGTGCTGGGGATAGAACCCAGGCCCTTTCTCATACGAAGTCTGTACTCTATCACTTAGCTATCCCCTAGTCCTGACTGACCAGACTTTAATAAATCTTGGCTTCTGCCTTTCGAATCAATCATTTGAATAACTTCACTGAACCCTCATCTCCAAATAGTTCATTTTAAGGATATTTGTATAGATACTTCAAAGAGTGGAAACTTCCAGCTTTAAAAGAATTACCTAGCTGTGGCTGGGGATGTGGTTCAAGTGGTAGAGCACCTGCCTACCAAGCACAAGGCCCTGAGTTCAAACCCCAGTACTGTCAACAAATGACCTATCTAAAAGGCAACAAATGTAAAAAAAAATTGAGCTGATAGTACTTTCCAGGAAGGGTATATCCTTGGGATAGTGACTCCCTTCCCTCTATTTTGTCTGGGGAGGAGTCATGTTCAGTAACTGTAGAGATCAAGTTTTTTCCTTCATTGCCTGTAGCAGGAAATATCCGTTATTTAAACTCCTGTGCTAAAAAGAAAAGACTGGAGAGATAATACACCAAAAAGTAGTTATCTCAGGGTCATGGAATTGTAAAGGAAATTCCTTTTTTTTGTATTTTTTATATTCTCCAAAATTTCTACAAACAATGAAAGAATATATTAACTAAAAATAAGTATAGCATTTGCCATTTCTCATTAGTAAGAGAAAATTACATTTGCATGCATAGGTAAGAGATTCAGGCATATTTTACTTTTGTGGTGATAATACAAATGCAGTACAGTAAATTAATGTGTAAGATGAACAAACGACCACTTCCTTTTTCTCATTATTTGGGGGTAACTGCAGTGACTTGTTTGGGGGCTTCAGATGCCAAAGGCTCTTCAGTATGTTGCTTGGGTCCTTCTTTCTCTCTTCCCTTAGAAGTAGTTAACTGATTACGTATTTCAGTCCTAGCCAGGCATGATCGTGCATGCCTGTAAACCCAGCACTCAGGAGGCTGAGGCACAGGATTGTAAGTTCAAGGCTGGCCTGGGTTATATAGTGAGACCCTGTCTCAAAAAAAATCTTTTGGTGCTTTAGGATAGCCTTTTGTTAAGAGTGCCCTTTGGGCTGGGCATAGTGGCTCAAGGATCACAGTGTGATCCTAGCTACTTGAGAAGCAGAGATCAGGAGGATTGTGGTTCAAGGCTAGCCAGGACAAAAAGTTCGAAAGTTCTCAACCATGGCTGGGCACAGTATTGCACATTTGTCATCCCAGCTATGGCAGGAAGCATAAACAGGAGGATCAAGGTCCAGACCAGCCTGGGCATAAAGTGAGACCCTATCTCAAAGATAACCAAAGTAAAAAGGGCTGACAGTGTGGCTCAACTGGTAGCGTGCCTACCTAGCAAGTGCAAGGCTCTGAGTTCAAATTCCAATATCAAAAAAAAAGTTCCCTTTTAATAGTGAAGACTTTTTTTTTATTCATATGTGCATACAATGTTTGGGTCATTTCTCCCCCCATTCCCCTCCCCCACTCTGTCCCTCTCCCCCGCTACCCCCTTTCTACCAGGCAGAAACTATTTTGCCCTTATCGCTAATTTTGTTGAAGAGAAAGTATAAGCAATAATAGGAAGGACAATTTTTTGCTAGTTGAGATAAGGATAGCTATACAGGGAGTTGACTCACATTGATTTCCTGTGCATGTGTGTTACCTTCTAGGTTAATTCTTCTTGATTTAACCTTTTCTGTAGTTCCTGGTCCCCTTCTCCTATTGGCCTCAGTTGCTTTTAAGGTATCTGCTTTAGTTTCCCTGTGTTGAGGACAACAAATGCTATCTAGTTTTTTAGGTGTTTTACCTATCCTCATACCTTCTTTGTGTGCTCTCACTTTTATCATGTGATCAAAGTCCAATCCCCTTGTTGTTTGCCCTTGATCTAATGCCCGCATATGAGGGAGAACATACGATTTTTGGTCTTTTGGGCCAGGCTAACCTCACTCAGAATGATGTTCTCCAATTCCATCCATTTACCAGCGAATGATAACATTTCGTTCTTCTTCATGGCTGCATAAAATTCCATTGTGTATAGATACCACATTTTCTTGATCCATTCATCAGTGGTGGGGCATCTTGGCTGTTTCCATAACTTGGCTATTGTGAATAGTGCCGCAATAAACATGGATGTGCAGGTGCCTCTGGAGTAACCTGTGTCACAGTCTTTTGGGTATATCCCCAAGAGTGGTATTGCTGGATCATATGGCAGATCAATGTTTAGCTTTTTAAGTAGCCTCCAAATTTTTTTCCAGAGTGGTTGTAGTAGCTTACATTCCCACCAGCAGTGTAAAAGTGTTCCTTTTTCCCCGCATCCTCGCCAACACCTGTTGTTAGTGGTGTTGCTAGTGATGGCTATTCTAACAGGGGTGAGGTGGAATCTTAGTGTGGTTTTAATTTGCATTTCCTTTATTGTTAGAGATGGTGAGCATTTTTTCGGCCATTTGAATTTCTTCTTTTGAGAAATTTCTGTTTAGTTCACTTGCCCATTTCTTTAATTTTGGGAGAATTTAGTTTTTTAAGTTCCCTATATATTCTGGTTATCAGTCCTTTGATGTGTAGCTGGCAAATATTTTCTCCCACTCTGTGGGTAGTCTCTTCAGTTTAGAGACCATTTCTTTTGTTGAGCAGAAGCTTTTTAGTTTTATGAAGTCCCATTTATCTATGTTGTCTCTTAGTTGCTGTGCTGCTGGGGTTCCATTGAGAAAGTTCTTTGCCTATACCTATTAGTTCCTAAGTATTTCCTACTCTTTCCTGTACCAACTTTAGAGTTTGGGGTCTAAAGTTGGATCCTTGGTCCATTTTGAGTTAATATTGGTATAAGGTGATAAACATGGATCTAGTTTCAGCTTTTTGCAGATTGTTAACCAGTTTTCTTAGCAAGTGAAGATTTTTCTGAAACAAAATAATCAGTCTCTAACTTTTATAAGTTGGATGGTGGTTGGGATGTGGTATGGCAAGCTTTCACCTCAAGGCCACACTTGGCATCAGTATCTTGAGGAAAACACGTTTGATGGCATTAATAGTCTCAATTGTTGACACTCGGTTCTCATCATGAAATTGCTGCTGAAACAGATAGAATTCTGTACACTTGGCAATCTTGCCTAAAAGCAAAGCCCAAGACTGGAATAGCAGGAATTTATAGGTCAAGACAGAAGGGCATTTGGCAGGATCCGTCATAAGGAAGTCTGCTTGGTAGGCTTTAGCAAAAGCAGCTCACATTTCACTAAGCTCTGATGTTTTAGTCACTTTGAAGAATGCACAGATAGAAGTCCTATCCAAAAAACTAGAAATAAAATCAGACACACTGAAAGCACAGGTGTTAGCAATATTAACCTATTAATTTTGAATCACTTTGATCCTTTTAAAGCAGTCTGTTTTCATGTGTACAGTTGCTTTCTCAAAGAAAAAGCATACTTTGTCTTCAATAAATAGCTAAATGAGTCTGGTTATATTTCATAGGAGGGAAGAGTTTTAAAGCTACAATTATCTGTAGAACCCAGTTACTTCAAGCCCTTTCAATTTATAAATGAGGAAACCAAGGCCCAAAGTCACTCAGTGAGTGTGAGGGAGAGCCAGCCCTTAAATGTTTAGGTCTCTTCACCAGTGAGTCAACATTCTTAGTTCTTTCTGCTACACGAGGTTTTGGTATAAATAATATGCCTTGATTTTTAATTTTTTTTCAGGAATTGGAAGAGGTGCCTAACGAAATGGATGCTAGAAGAAAACATTGGAAGGAGAATATGTTTACTCCTTTTTTTAGTGCACACGATGTTCTGGAAGAGACTTCTGTGTCTGAATCTTCTTCTGAACAAATAGCCATAGATAAGACCAAGAGAATGGGTGGAATTTATAACTTTTCCAGTAGAAAGTTTCAAGAAGAAAATAAATTTAAGAGGAAAGAATACATTTCCCAATTAAGTGAAAGAGAAGAAGGGCCGAGTTTAAGAGAGAGAAGAAGAAACATGTCAAAGAGTGAAGGAGACACAAATTCTGCCTCCTGTGAATCATCGAATTTGGACATTACAACCAATGACGGCTCTAACAACACAGAAAACTCCTCCACCTGGAGTAAAAAGGAATTACCAACTATACCTCGGCAAGGTACCAGGAAGAAATCCGTTGAAGGAATGTCTCCAAAAGTTCGCCTGAACCTCCTGAATGAAGAACTGGAAGAACTGAATATAAAGTGCCAAAAAATAGAAGAGGAATTTGAAAATGCTGAAAAAGAACTTTTGAACTCCAAAAAAGAAGGCTCCACGAAGTCCATAAATTTTCAAGACACAGGGCCAGACACTGTGAAGAATGACTGGGAACTTCAAGCTTTAAAAAATGACCTATCTGAAAAAGCAACAAACGTAAAAAACTTAATGGAAGAGCTCCAGCAAGCCAAAGAAATCATCCACCAGTTGAACCTAGAGAACAGAAACCTAAAAGAAGCCGTTAGGAAGTTAAAGCGTCAAAGTGAACTAGGAAACGCACTCCTGAAAGAGGAAATGAAATTGTATTATGAGTTAGAAATGGAAAAGATTCGTGTAGAGCTTGATGCCATCAAGAACGAGCTGAGAGCTGAGAAAACCCTCCAAGCAAGGAATAACAGAGCCCTGGAGTTACTTAGAAAACACTTGGCTTCCATGGTACGATCATCAAGTAGTACCTTTGACCATTTTCCTGGGGATTTTTTTTAAACTTAAAAAACAAAACAAAAAACGCCTTTCACTAGGCAAATCGTTGAGCCAAATCAATGTTTATTGTACCATCTTCGTGTCCTAAAAATCCGTGTAATAGAATGTAATTTTCACTCTTTGTGAATGAGAATGTCTGTAAGGCATATAGATGTTAACTTCAAAGCCCCTGCTTTCTCTTTATGAAGTTATTGTGAGACTCCAAATGAAAATGAAGGTTCAGATAGCTCTTTTATATATATGTATACACAAATATATATCTGTATATCTGTATCTCACTGAAAACAGTGATTCACTAGGGCACTGCTAATACAAATCAACAGCATTTTGTGATTCATGTGTCCTTGGCACATGAATACTCCCCCATCTGTGCTCATTGATGTTAACAATAAAACACTTGTTTATGTGTATAAGCAGAACATATGTCTGTGAGTCTTGGGGCTGCCTGTTCAAACTCCATAGGATACCAAAAGCATATCTGCTTTCTTTGGGGTCTAACCTTAATTAGGCAAATGTAAACATCTCAGGGAAAAATGCATTTTCCTCTCCTTCCTGCTGTTGTCCCCTTGACTTGGCCACAGTTCACATAGACTAGAAGACGACTTATTTGTGACCTTTGCCAAACCCTGCTTCCTTCAGCAGTGGCTTTGCATTTTCTTATGTTGACCAGCAAGGGGCGATGTTGACACAGTTCTTCCAAAACTCAACCAGGGGAAAATGTCTAAGTTCCTTGCCGGTGTATGTTACCAGGCCAGGACTGTAGTGAAAGGTGTTGGATATCATCGAGGTAGGTTTAGAGTGAGTGGGAGTGATTCCCCACTAACTAGTTAACTTCTAGACCTAAAAGTCCTCACCTGTAAAACGAGGAAGCAAATCTATCATTGAGATTCCTTCAGAGCTGGGCGTGGAGGTACAGGCCCTCTGGAAGCTGAGACAGGAGGACTGCTTGAGCCCAGAAGTTTGGGACCAGCCTGGGTCACATAACAAGACCACATCTTCCCCCCCCCCTTTTTTTAAAGATGCTGTTCAGTTTTAATGTTGTGTGATTTCACCTCCACGATTTTATTTGCAAGTATAACTGTCCTGTGATGAAGTGAAATTCCTATGGTTTCAGGTGCATTTGACCTACTGTCAAAGGAAATGCAGGCAGGCTCCTTTCATAGTTTCAGTACCTCCGAATGCCTTGTCTATAATAAATTACTGTTGTGAGTAAATGAAGTTGTTTCTGTGCTTTTCACTTGTTTCCTTTTACTCTGTAGGGCAAGAGAAGGCACCGAAGGGTAGCAAACTAAGACAACCTGGAGGCCGAGCAGGGCTTGCCTGGGCAGGGGAGATTGGACTCGATTGGAAGATGATTTCTGGAACTTTCTGAGATTTAGTTCCAATAAACTTAATGCAGGCCCTGGCAGCCTGACTCGAAGGCAGAGATGGTTTTCAGGTTTTTGGAAGTCACTGGTTTGTCACCAAGAGTCTAGGCACAAAATCAAGCTAAGAGAGTCCCTACTTGACTCTCTTTCTCATTGTCCCCTTAAAAAGTACTCTTTTGTCCTTGCCCCATAAAGATTCTTATTCCCTGAGTGTTGTGTACAGAGCTGCTTGTTTACATGTTTAAAATATTTCACATTGTATGAAGCCACTAGGTTCAATCCTCTCAGAATAGTTCTTTTTTTAGTACAGTACTGAGGATGAAACCCAGGGTCTCGGGTAGGCTACAGCAAGAACACTACCACCAAAGTCCATCTACTTCCCTAATTCTACTTCCTTTGAGACAGGATCTCACTTTAGAGCCCAGGCTGTCCTATTTTCAAAAACCACTTGACATTACTATATTCAGGCTACATCTTTGAACTGGTGATATGTCACAGTACACCTGTCAGTACTTTTTGTCTTAGTAGTTCATGAAATGATGGTGTATCTTGCAATCAATGTAGTTTTAGATTTGATGAAATATGGTATAATAGGGTGGGGATATGGGAATAGAAGTAATTATGAGGAAGACAGGTGTCTGGCATCAAGGACCTTACTTAGACAATTAACTAGGACAATGTGGTAAGAGCTATATTAGCAACACTAACGGAAAGTACTTGGAAAGCATAGAGCAGATCAATTAATTTTGCCCATGGGGCTAGGAACAATTTCATAAAAGGAGATGACATTTGAGCTGGACCTTGAAGAATAAGAAGGATTTTTCCAGGCAAAGGATGAGGGCAGAGGGCAGGGACATTTCTGGAATGTGAAAGAGGATGGTCTATTTTGCTTCTGAGAGGACTCTTGACAGAAATGAACTCGAGTACTGCCATGCATTGCCGAGTTTTTAAGATCCATTTGAGATTCTACTACGATAGCTACCATGAATTCCAACCCTTTCACTCACTTGCACATAGACTAAAGAATGGAGTTCTCATGGCGTAAAGACCAAGTTCCAGATAACAAATGCAGAAAACAATTTTGCTAGGGCCACTTTTGTCTTGGAAACAAATGACCTAAGAGGCTTCAGTTATCTTATTGAGCCAAATTCAATGTGAGCAGTCTGGTTTCAAAGACAGGTATGAACGAGCAACAGCACAGTCACTCCTCTCTCCAAAGAAGCACGACAGCATAGAGACTACATGGACAAACTTGGGTCATTCACTTGTTAGCTGTGTGAACTTGGTCAAGTTACTCAATTCTCTGTAGCTCAGTTTCCTCATCCTATAAGATGAGGCAGGTAAATAGTGCTGGGAGAGTCAGATGAGATCAGATAGCATCAACATATGTCACCTTCATTGTTATCACCGTTATTTTTACCTTAACTGTCAAGGGAAAATTGGCAAATACATACATCTCTTCCTATCTCTTCCCACGTCTTGTCCTTCCAGTGTGTTCTCCGGAGAGAATGTGATGAGCTCATTCACCATGTGTATCAGTGCTCTGTGAACATGATTGGGAGGGTGGAAAAAGTTGCACAGATGATATTAGTATATAATTAATAATTAGTATTCCCTATAAAGGAAATTTCTTGGGTCAGCACCTACCCAGCCCCTGTCCAATAAGGTTGGCCCCTTGCCCTGATGTGCAGAGTAGCACAAGGGGATAGAAAAGCTCTGCTCCAGTGCTCCAGTGGGAAAACCTCATGGAGGAAAGGGAAGAGAGACAAGAGAGACTATTATAGTGTTTTCATTTCCCCTTAGCACAGGGAGCCACGCAGCTGGGGACCCACTATTACAGTTGCTCAGATCACTAAGTATTGTCTGGTTCTTTGTACACAAAAGGCACTGAAGCTGTAATCAGCTGTGCAGTGTAGGTGTGCCCACCTTTCCATACCTGAAATATCAAGGTGGTATCTCCCCTGCTTTAGTGGTCAGAGCCACTGTTTACAGGCTCTTTCTGACACTTTTGATCACATCCAGCCTTTTGATGATTGCTGTGTGTTGTCATTTCCCAAGAGACTGGGTTTCGACCTGATTCTCTGAGGCCCTGTTCTGGGGCATTTTTAACCATTTCTTTTGCCTTTCAGCCTATACCCAGTCACATTAAAATAGGTGCTGTCATGCATATTTCAGACTATGACAGGATACCTACTCGAGTCATTCCCTCACTGGTGCTCTTGCCTGCATTTAGACTATTTGGTAGACAATCCTAGTTACAAAACATTAGTGTGTCACACACTTCCACAAATATTGTCTTGTGTAGCAGGCATAAAAATCGTTAATTGCCACTCATTTTACAGATGAAGAAACTGAGGCTCAAAGACATGAAATGACTTAGTCAATATCACACAGATAGTAGGTGGTGTATCGAACCCAACCTGTCCGGCTCCATCACAGTGCTTGTTCCATTTTACCAGGCCACATTGTGGGCTATGAATCATGAGCCAAAGTTCAGTCTCCATACACACGATTTAAGTTTCTCAAAGGCAAACTGGTTTAATACTGCAGCCTGGATTCAACTTGAGCTAGCCATCTCATAAAAGACTGACCTGAGCAGTAAAGACGAATCCTATCGTTGGAAAGGCTGCAAAATATCTGTCTTCTGATGGCGGGATAGATCTTCGTGAAAGACAGAGCATCTGCTCGCTATGATAATGAAATGAACTGTGATGAATTGCTTATTGTAATTTTGGGGTCTGATATTTTATCATTCAAAATTATTATGATTTGCAGTACTAGGATTTGAACTCAAGGCTTTGCTCTTGGTAGGCAGGTGCCACACGTCTAGCCCTCATTCACAATTCTTGATGATTTTTCATTCAGTATTTTTTCTGCTGGAATCTTTGCCTCCTAAAATGTTGTCATGGAAAGCTATCTGGCTTTTGAGAAAAGGAAAGGCTGTGAAGGCCCCTCGCTGCTTAGAAAATGTTCATTTTGCTTGTTTTCCTCGGGTCCCTGGTGAGTTCCTCAGAGCTACAAGAAGGGAGTCATGTCCTGCTCCTCATAACCGAAGAGATTCTTTAAAGTGACATTTCAGGGTCTTCTTATTAAAATATCTTCAGCAAAAGACAAAATATTTTCTTTAAAATGTACAAAGTTATTCAAGAATGTACAAAACAACATGCCTCCTTCAATGCAGTGAAGCAGAAGCGAATGTGGAGGGCCGCTTTCGGCTTTCAGAAATGTGGGTTCTGTCAGCACAGAGCCTGGAGGGAGTTTCTGGTTCTGAGGTAACCAACCTTTTTAAATGCATAATATGCTTTTATGTGGTTTTAATGAGTACAAAATATTTTTGCATGTAGCAGAAGGATTTCCCCCCATAAAACATGAATTATCTTAAATCTTTTCCTTTGGGTATATATTAGGATATGCTTATAAGTAAACTGCTGAAAGCTAAAGGGCTTCAGTTCCTATGTCTGAACCAGAGAGGAGCAGTACACTAGGAAAAACATAACATGGAGTTTGCCCGGTTGGGTCCACGGGTAGAAGATACTGAGATGAGCCTGGGTATGGTGGTGCATGTCTGTAATCTCAGCTATTCAGGAGGTGGAGGTAGGAAGAGCACAGTCCCAGGGTGGCCCAGGCAAAAGTGTG